GATAGCCGTTTTCGGGATATCTTCTGTTGCCATCGGGATTTGGTTATACGCTTTAACCAAGTCGATTTTGGAGAATATAGTCGCGCCGGATAAGGTTGCCGTCAAGTCGTGTATATGAGGCAACGGGTAGCAATCAGGGGTTGTTTTGGCATTCACTCGCCGGTAATCACCGGTGGGTCGCCAATCATTGCTATCCTTTTTCGGAACCATATGAAGTGGGGATGCCCATGGGCTATTCGAAGGTCGAATGATGCCAAGGGTAAGCATATGGTCAAATTCATTCCTGGCGATTCTCAGTTTGTCAGGAGCTAATCGTCGTGCTTTAGATGTCACAGGTTGTCCTGTGGTAATGATGTGGTGCATAACATTGCTGGTTATGCACGGTAGGTCGTTCGACGGGCAGTTAAGTTCCGGATACTTGTCAACGATAGGTTGAAAAGTTGGATCAAGAATTGCCTTTATCTTAACGGGTGACAGACTAGGGCCTATGTAGCTGATGCCTTTGATAGACAGACTAGTAGTATTGTCAATCAGTCGTTTTCGGCGGACGTCTACGAGTAAATCATGATGATTAAGTAGGTCCGTGCCAATGATGGGCATTGTAACGTCAGCGAGAAGGAAAATCCACCGAATAGGTTTGCGTAAACCTACGTTCAGATAGACGTATTTCCTACCAAAGGTTGCGATTGGTTTTCCATTTGCAGCCTGTAAGTTGAAGGTAGGTTCCTTCTGTCGATCTGCTGCTGTAGCAGGAAGGACGCTGACTTCGGCGCCTGTGTCGACTAAGTATCGAGTCTGGCTTATCACATCATGGATGTAAAGTAGGCGGCTAGTGCCACCGGCGACGGTTGCCGCTAACGCGTGCCGGCGGGATAGTTTCCCGCAGACTTTGAGACATTTCCGAAGTTACAAGGCTTACGGCAACACTTCGCTTCTTGGCCATAGGTGTTGTGGTACCAGCACCAGTCAGGGTTTTTCAGTGAACGTGGTTTGGACTTAGATCGACCACGTGAGTTCCTGCGTTGAGGAGATTTAGGACGACGGTCGGAGGAGTTAGAATGCATGTTCGACCTAAACATCTGCTGGATGGAGTTGCATAACTCTATCATTGCAGGATCCTTACTCGAAGTCTGCTTAGTCATCGAGCATATTTCGGGAACAGACCGTTTGGTAATATCTAGAATCCTATCTGCAGTAATAGCTAAGTCCTCTATTACAGTACCCTGAAGTGTCACAAGTACGGTCTGTACAGACTGTGGCAGCTTGGTTAAGAAGAGTTCTCTAAACAGTCCTTCGTCGAACTGACTTTGGCCGACGACTTCCTTCATTCTTGTCAGCATGCTCACGGCTGACTGATCTCCTAACTCGATGTTACGAAATAATTCATCTAGACGTTGTCGGTCCGTGAGAACGTTTCTCCTGAGGAGGGATGCTTTGAGCAACTCGTACGAGTTACTTACCTCGGGACTGAACATCTGTGATGTTACGTACTTGCTGAATTCCCGCGGTAGGGCGTGAATAACTGCAAGTAACTGTGAACGTTGATCGGTTATCCCATGCTCACAAAAATCTGCTTCAGCTAGCAGAAACCACGTTTCAGCATTATCTGGCCAGTATGGTACGAGCTGAATGGTTTTAGGAGTTGAGCGGATACGAATGACCTTGGGACTAAGATCACTCATGACGAAAATTATGTCGAATAATATATGGTACAAGAACAAATAAAATGGAACGAACTCACCGGGGTTATCTGCGGATTTATCGTAGATGAAGTTCGCGGTTGGGCTCACCAGTTTAATGGTTGATGGATATCTCGTTCAGCAACTTCTAATTAATTTATTCTCGCGTACCAAAGACAAAGCAAAAGCCAATAATTGATCGTCCAAACCAAGAGATATATTTAGGGACCAAAACAAGCCGTTAGACGAACGCTTAGCTAGCTAGTGATCGTGCACGTTACACGACGGGGTACCAAATGGCGGGGATGCTTGACCGGAAGCCTTCAGCTAAACAAGTCGACTTAAACAGTGGTGGTCAGCATCCAATGAATGATTGCTGTGGTCAATAATTTTGGGGACTTATTCACCGCTACAGTGTCCTCTCAGCTGTATGACTTGGTCGCTAGTAAACGATCAAGCCAAAAGAATACAACTACGCCAAAGATAGTTAAATAGCTGAAAACAAAAGAATTGGCCGGTTTTATCTCCCACGTAGGCGCTTCGGTTGAATTAAAGGTCACTTCTGTGTGAATGGTTTCTGGGTCCTTCCAGGTTATGTTTTCTCCCTACCGCATTTCACTATATACAAATTATAGGGAAAATGTTACTCAGTAACCGAAAACACTTTTGAACGATAAATATCGTAAACATGTGTTACAACACCCATAAAACATCACCCATTGAACAATCTTGAGGAAATTGAAAGTTTTAGAGCTCATCAGAAATTTTTAGTAAATAATTCTGGTGATTTCGGCCTAATTTTCAAGGCTTCAAAAAAATACTGACATTTAAATGTATACCGAATTACATGTGCCTCGGTGGCACAGCTATCAGGACGCTCGTTGTCTATGCACATGGTCCGGAGTTCGGTACCCGCGCGACGCACATCTTGTGTCAAAGGCCGCCTGCTTAATTTGGGCCACCGATATCACTTGCTTTGAATTCCATAATTGTACTAAAATACGGTGTGGAATCAAGCTATGATAACACATATATTTCCCCAAATTTTTTCATTAGGCTGCCCCACAAAAGCCTCAAAGTTAGAACCCCCATTTCGTGCCCGGATGAATAATCTTGGGGAATTCCGGAACATTCAGGGAAAATTTTAGGACCAAGCGGAAAGTGCCGACATTTTGGTGTATTTTCCCCCAAATTTCCCTGAATTTTTTATATTAATCTACCCTAGAAATTTTTGTTTCCGTTATGTGCACATGTACATACACTCATATCTCAGGTTAATTAAACGTGGTCCTCGGTTCGTGTAGTAGGAAAACTCACTAACCACGTAGTGTATTCGACTTTGCCCTTGTAGTTTCTGAAGGATCTTATCTTCACCCTTGAAGGTTCCTTGAACTAGATGATGGTCTAAGCCGGCATCTGCCATTCTCGACTTTGTATCTAGCAGGTTAGCTGCATCTCCATTTCCTTGAGCAGCATTGAGGTGAAATCTATCTGTTGTTTAGCGCGTCTGTCAGGCGAAATCCATGTTGCATTGGGTAAATCATTGTGTTTGTATACGCGACCTCCAAAAATGAAATCATTGAAGGCGGAGAATTCTCTGTTCTCATTCATTTCACCCAAATCCTCTGGACCTATGATTTCTTTTCCTGTATTGTCTGCACCAATTTCGGCATTCATAAGGATTTTGATGTCACCATTCGGGATGTTGTCCACTACTGTTTGCAGTTGTCTATGAAAACCTTCCTTCTCTTGTTCTGAGTTGTTTGTGGTTGTGTAGCACTGAATAATCGTAACCTTTCTTCCTTCCTTTTGAGTTAAATCTTTCTGTCGTAATCTTGGAGGAGATTGGTTCCTACTGCATTCGAGCATTGCTGCTATTGGTGACATCATGATGGCCGCTCCCTCAGTGTGCTTGTGGTTTTCATCTGGGTGACCGAAGTAGATTGCTGACTCTCCGGTTAATAATTTCGACAGTCCACATTTATTCCATCTGCTCTCATAGATTTTGGTTACTTCTTTACCATATCTTCTCTTTATTTGGCTACTTGAGCAGCCTTCCCAGTTTTGTGCATTGTTCGAACATTCCACGTCCCCATTCATATTTCTCACTAGACAGATGTTATTTGTTCTTTTCAAAACAGATCCCTTTTTGTTTTATTTGGCAAGAGCAGCTGTAATATTTAGTAGAATACAAATATCCAAATTGATCAACGAGATTGCCTATAAAAAGTTGGGTGCTTAGTAAGGTTGTAGGTCAGCACGACAATTCGATGATTGATTTGTAAAGTTAGGCAACTAGGCAGAATAATAAGGGACGTTTTAACTGGCCTACAGATATATTCTGAAAGGGTGTCACGAGAGAGTAACAAATGAGGAAAAGCAGTCGGGTCTGAATCTATGTTTGCAGAAGGCAGTGAGTCAAAGCGATTAACCAGACCGATTGAAATTTTAGCATAGATTCAGCATAAGTCAAAGGTAAATTCTAACTTTGAGAGTCGGAAAAGAAATAAAAATTTAGTATTTACAGAGTAATAAGTTTGACCATTATGGCTGTTCAAATCCTAAGGCCTAATATGTTACGACGCCTAGCCACATCCATAAAGTAAAGTGCTGGGAGGGCCAAGCCAGTAGTGCGTGTGTTCACCGGTCTCCTCCGATTGAACATCAATGTTTTTGCAATTTAGGTTTATGCAATCACATAGATAACAAATAGTTTCTATGAATGGTACATCTGTGAATAAAGAACAAACATTTAAGGAAATCATATGCTTTACAGGTCACATTTACTCCATCAATCCAACCTACGAAGACAAAAGCGTCGGGAAGACTATGTTTATATAGATTTGACCTTTCTAGTTCAAGGATTTCAGCGAGTTCAGTGTATCCAATATAGGTCGCACGTTATGCACGTTAGAAAGACCATATAAACGAGGAATGGCTGAACCAGGCGGCTTAAGGCGTTCATAAATATACGGAGCAATAATAGATTCGTCCTTCAACTTCATCAAAGTTTTTGACAATTCTTTCACCGACGACTTTTCTACCTCTGTTTAAATTAATAAGTTGAAATGCAATTGGTGGAAAAGGATTGTTAATCCTGCAAGCACTCGTACTGGAATTTGCCAAGTGTCCGTTTGTCAACTGCTGTAAACTAATTGTTTTCCGTGCTTTAGCCATATTCACTCTTATTTCGCTGTTCGTATGTTATCTTCATGAAATACTCATTTTTCTGTAACTTACGCATTGTATTTGTTTTATTCATACCAGTTCAGTGGTCTGCAATTAAAAACCATATCAAGATCTACTCTTATTGTTTGGTGAATGGAAGCATCAGCTCAGTGATTTTCAAATTACTATATGCGGTTACTGTTATAGGATAGTTGTCATTTTTAACGATATGAAAACACGTAGTGCATTAGTAATGGAAGCTCCAAATATTGCAGCAATTGTGAAAGCTCGACACCATGCTCGTATTGTTTGTCCTACAAGCACCAATCCTTCAACAAGTACGCAAAGTCAGTTAGTCTCCGGCACAATAAATGATCCTTCTGAGAATGGTAGCAATACGACTAACTTCTGTAATGCACCTACAACAGGTGGTCAGACAGTCGGCGACGAGGTAAGAGTTTCAGCAGAAGACAAAGCTCAAAAGAATCGTTCTGGTATGTAGTATCATAAATATATTAATATTTTTAATGATTAGAAAATCCTCCTAGATTGTTACGTGGTACTTGGTCACCAGATGATCGGCGTTTATTTTTTCAAGCAGTGAGATTAGTAAGTTTATTCTATCATTCATTTTATCTCTTCATACTCACGAGTTCATTTTTACTGTTTTTTTTCTAACTTAAGTTTTTCTTTCTCTAAAGAACAACAATCAAGAAAATTCATATTTTAATTGAAGTACAGATATCAAATGTTTACACTACTGAGTATAAATTAAAATCCAGATGGGAATTAAAGTATGGTTACTAATAGGCACAAATAGTAGGCAGAAATGAGAACACTAGATGTAACAACAGAAGACGAGGGCCAGGCAACAGATCGTTTATTAGGGAAATCAACACATATTTAAAGATTTTCATGTACATTATTATAGATTATTGTTAGCAGAAAAACGCAGTCCTCTGATTGGTTGTTTCTCACTGAAAGTTAATCTTTCATCTCTTTGTGGCTGTTTCTTGAATGTCACATCATCTATATACTAGTTGTATCCATCTACGCAGAGTCTGATGTGGTTGGTTGTTGAATCTGTTTGTTTGTATTTTTCTCACGACCAATATTGAGGACGTGAACATTGACGTAAATTACTGTCTACCAATTTGGCTAGCAGCCAGCTCTCACCACATAGATAGGAAACATATATCCATATATTAGCTCAGTAAAGCTGGACGGAATCCAAACCAATTAACAATTCTCATTCAGGTTTGGGATATAATCGTTGCCATCTATACAGCTTTTCAGAAAGCTTGTTTCTGTGTTCACTACAACAAGCTTGACAAAAGAAAACTTATGTTTCTTAAATATTTTTGTGAAATCATTATCAAATACTTGTCACTTATTTAAAAAATGACAATTATATGAAGTCGAAATTATGTTTCGTCAATAGTATTTTGTAGCAAGGTATGACTGCAAGTGCAAACAAACCTAATCCGAATAAACAACTAGGCACTAGTAACTTTGATTCTTCCAATGAGTGTATATTTTATGTATTAAATCAGTCGCATATCTTTAGCTCTTCAGAACTTTTGCACATATCATTAAGGAATAAACACTTATATGAGCCTTGTAATTTAATCTTTTTAGTATGGACGCAACTTCAACGAAATCACTCGTTTTATTCGATCTCGTAGACACCGTACGACAGCAGATCATCAAACTGTAACATCAAATAACAGTACAGAACCTAATTCAAACAATCTCCATTCTGGAAATAATCTGGCTTCTTCAAGCAATGTGCCAACATCTTCAGGTTCATCTACTCTAGGTGCCCCACATTCCAGTAATGCTTCTCAGTCGTCTACTGGTGTGAACACAGCTCTTGCCAGCAATTCAGATTTGAACACACCTTGTGGAGGTCGAACGCGTGAACAGGTCCGTTTCTTTTACCAACAGACATGGCACAAAATACGTCGTTATGTTAAGTATCCTGATGAAGTTCCTCAACACGTTAGAGAGGTCTACGCAATTGTCAACTATTCTGTGATTCGTACACGTATCAAAAAACGTAAGTTTGAGGGGTTAATTTGTTGCTTCCTGTCGTTAAATCTAACTGATAAGCAGTCACTAGTTGTCTTTAATAACTGTGAATCGTTATTCAGACGGATTCTGTGTTTTCACTCAGTAAACTTAACTAATAGCAGCCTTGAGATGGTTAACTCTTCATTATTTAATGTTTCATGGAGACAGCAGTCTCCTTAAATTACGTCACTAAATAACACATGTTTCAATATGAAACGAAGAATGTATTCCTGGGGTAGTGATTCATTTACATTCTAGTTCTGAAGAGTAGCCTCAAGTCATTGTGGTTGTTTCAGTATGGTCGAGATTGGGTGTATTCAATTCCATCTTTTAGAATAATTCTATGTTTGCACATCTTCATCCCCTTCCAACCGAGCTTCTCTCCATCTTCAAGTGTCGAGAGGTGTTCTCACAAGAGTGAATAGACGAATAGAAATATCCGTTATTTATCTTTGGATTTTTGCATACAGATGACTCATTTAGGACTGTTGAAATAATGCAGTTTTCGCTCATTTGTGCATATGAACTCCAAATAATATGTAGATCTGCAAAAACCATAGTATTAATGTCCTGATTTCGTTCGACTCCCTTTGATTAGACTATTGGGCAAAAGCTCTGGAATTGGTTCTTTAAGGCAGCCATTTGTTTCGATTCAGATGCCAAGGCAATATTTTAGCCATCACGAACTAGTCGGCACTAACTTCAAGCACAAAGAGAGACATTGTGTAACCTGGCGACCTCCATCACCAAATCAACACTGGACTCAGATAGACCACGTAGCCATAGGGTATCGTTAACGAGGGTTAGTAGAAGACTGCCGCTCCTTCTGGAAAACGTGCGTAGACTCTGGTCACACTGTGGTTCGCGCACGTTTATGCTTACGACTAAACGGACATAAGAAATTCACGGCAGTGAAACAGTTACGTCCCCAACTAAACACTGAGTCCTTATTTAAGGAAGAAATAGCGAAACGAGTGTCTGAGGTCGATAGCAGGACTTCCCCTGAGGTAGCCTGGCACAACATACAATAAGCTGTAGACACAGCTATGAAAGCTGTTAATAAGCTAAAACCTAAAGTTAGTAAAAGCCATTGGATCTCTACCGCCTCATCCGAACTGATTGACGCAAGTTGACTGATTCCGGCGAGCTTTGATTATGATGAGGAGCGAAAGCTACTCAAACGAAAACTAACAAGAAGTCTTCGTAACGACCGTGAACAGTGGTGAGCGACAAAAGCGAAAGAGATGGAAAAGGCATCGGCGATTGGCAACACCAGACAACTATTTAGGCTTATCAGGCAAACAGGTGGTAAAAGGCAAATGATAAGTGAAACAATCTCTGAGAAGAATGGGACCATAATTAGCTTTCAGAATAGACGACTGAAACGCTGGGAAGAGCGCTATGAGGGGCAGTTTAATTGGCCCACAGCCACGCTCAACCTTCCGAACATCCAACACCTCCCTGAGTGGGATATAGACACAGGTCCTCCATCCCTAACTGAGGTTACTAAAGCTGTCACCAATCTGAAACTAGGCAAAGCAGCGGGACCTGATGGAATGACTCCAGAGGTATTTAAGTACGGTGGAGACAGTTTACTGTATGCATTAACTGAGGTACTAGGCAGCGTCTGGGAATCAGAAGAAGTCCCATCGGGTTGGTGTAAGTCACTGATTATCCCCATATACAAGAAGGGAGATAAGTCTTCCTGTGATAATCACAGAGGGATTAGCTTGACTAATATAGTATCTAGAGTCCTAGGCTCAATAATCATGCGTAGACTAAGTGGTGCTCGGGAGGCACAAACACGAGAGAGCCAGGCAGGCTTTAGACCAGGAAGAGGGTGTATTGATCATATCTTCACCCTCCAACAGATTCTAGAACATATAGGCATTCTTACCGGCGTCCAACAGTCATTATATTTCTTGACCTAAAGGCAGAATTCGATTCTGTCGACCGAGAGGTTCTCTGGCGATGCTTGGCTGTAAAGGTTATGCCGAGAAAATACATTGCACTGATCAAGGCACTCTACTCGTACTCATGCCATCAGCCAGGTGAGGGCTTACGGAGAGTTGTCATCTGAACTGGTGATGACTAGGGGTGTCCGTCAGGGATGCTTATTATCCCCATTTCTATTCAACCTCATCATAGATGTACTAATGGACTTAACCCTAACTCACTTCAGAGAAGCAGGGATTGACTTGCTACCAAGGAATAATCTTGCAGACGATATAGTCCGTCTAGGCGAGGACGCTGATAAAATGCAGAGTCTTCTGAACACCCTGAGCTGCAATCTACGAATGTTTGGCATGCGATTATATATATATATATATATATATAATTATTTAAATTTATACTTAATGTCATGTTTTACGTATTTTTGTTGTTTTAGCACTGCATCATCGATTGGGTGAAAAACTCAATGAGCTGATTCATTGTGGGTAAGTTTTTCTTATTTCTCGTTACTAAATCCTGTTCTAATGAACACTTCATAATATATCGATTTAACAAAATAACTTGCTTGAAAATAATAGCAAGTGGTGATCTTAGATCAAGTCTTTCTCAGGGATCGACTTACTTAAAATACATTCGGTGCTCAATTTCAATGGCTTCATTTATCTTATCAAATATCTTTCATATGTGCTGTTACATTCAGTGGACAATCGCTGACTAATTGAATTCTGAGAATAGAATCCCTCAAACTTTGTAAATGCATTTCTATCATTAATGTATCTGAATTCTCCTTAGTATGATAGAATTTCGAAGTTTCCGGCTTCATACGAGAATTAATTGTATATTGGTGTCGTTAAAGTTCAATATCAAGCACTTGTTGAATCATATATCACTGCTTACCATATTTATAGAGACTATCCAGTATACAATACTGTTTCACTGTGTGATACATTTAATAAACAAACTAATATGGAATTTATAGAGACTATTTTTGTTAGCTCATGGTAAGCCCATTTTCAATTTTCTGTATAACCTAAGTAATAATAAGCTGGGAATCCTAAAGTGACCTATTGTGAGTGTCTTAGGTGGTATGTATGCAGTAAACTTGACTAAGCGCATAGCTTTAATAAGTGCCGTTCTGCTACGTATTTCCACTTTCCCTTTCTCGAAACTTGATATCATTCCATGAGAACATTTTCTCTAGTTGGTTTGTGAGGATTAGTTTTGTTTTTACGAGTTGACCATAGATTGATATCAGTTAGAGAACCCCTGAGAACCAGGGAGTACTGGACAACTGCTGTTTCATCCTAGTTTGGGAATCATCGGCAGTATCCACTCACTGGGGTTCGAACCCAGGACCTCGAAGTTATAAGGCAAGCTCGTATACCAATCAACCCGATTCAATGGCCCATGAGTTCTAACTTCTACAAATTCGTGATTATAGCGCTACCACCAACCAATGTCATCGGCGGGAAATCGACTCCACGTTAATTTGTTTCTATGTCTGGAGGGACGAAATTAACCATCCCATATTGTACTACTTACAAGTAGCAGAAAAATTAACGTAAAATTATGTATGAAAATAACTTCTGTTATTAAAAATAACATGTCGGATCCTATATAGAAAATCAGAAGCCAAATGGGACAGTTTTGGAACTTAAATATTACTTTGATCTCATAAGGTCGAGTTCATAACGTTTTAATGGTGGGTTTACTTTAATTCTTTTAGATGGATATTTACTTAACTGAGGATGCCTGACGACTATTACTAAAGTCCGGTTGGATTTCATTGGTATAATAATATTGATACTGTAGAAAATGAAAGACTTGGTAAAGGAACGTTCATTTGGAGTCTTGGCATCTCTGCATAGCGAAATTATGTACACATTATCTTCAACACACCATTTGCACATACCTTCCGTGTTGTGCTACTTCTGGCCTTCCTTCATATTGTGTTTTTTTGTGTTCCTTTTACGTCTCCCATGTATCTCCGCAACGCTGTATAGTTTGTTTTCTCTGAAATCAAGTCGATCTCCCTGCTATTTGATGTTTTTATGCCGATGGACGTCTCTTTATATACTACTGGTAAGTAGTATATAAAGAGACGTCCATCGGTATAAGTAAGTGGCACACGCTACACCATCCCTCTCTATCAAATAGTTTCGAACGGAGCCGTTCCGGTCTTCTTGGTTCTACGTCTTCCTTTTGTACCTTGGTATTGGCTTCTTTATCTCACAGAAACCATTCCTGCAGTTGGCTGATATTAACCCGTTTCTGTTTATTTCCTGCTTAGATGGTATAAACGGGACCACGTTTCTCGGTGATTAGTGTATGACCCTTTCCACTTCAGGAGAGGTTTCCGAACTACGCCTTTTCTTCCTGTACACTTTACTTCCTATCTTTCCTTCCTGTTCTAAATTTACCGGCGATGACTATCTTCTGTTTACGCTTTACTTTCCTGACGGCTCCTTTCCGTCCCGTTCGCAGCCTCGTCATATTTCACTCCTGGTGGAGGGACCAGGTTGTGCTGTGTATTGTCGTGGTTTCCTCCCATAATTCAACTGAAACGGTGACTTCTTTGTTGTTTCCTCGGTGGAAGTTCTGTTTCCCAGTTACCTCCTTTCGAGGCCAGCAACTGCTTTAGTGTACGGTTATCTCTGTCTGACCATTCGTTTGCGGATGATATGGTGTTGTTCTAATCCTCGTGATACCCAGCTGTTGCAAACAGGAAGTGAATTCTTTACTTTCAAAACAAGGATTCTGATCTGTCATTATCGTCTTTCGTACACCATGGTCTGCAACGATGTGTCGAACTACTGCATCAGTTGCGGTTTCGCGTGTTGATCAAGGGTCACGACGGCGTCTAGCCATCGTGTAGCGTGTTCCATCATCACCAAGAGGTACTGATTGCCACTGAATGTCTGCGAAAACGGACGTATACCTATGGACCACATGCCTCCTACTGCTATAACTGGAATTGACTGCAGAGGCGGACGTATGCACTTATTTCCTTTCATCAACTAGCACTGTATTGCGCCACATCTCTCATACCTGGCTAGTATATGCTTTAGCCCAAGAGGTCAGTTGTTCTGGCTACTCGTATATCCACTAGTTGGTGATATTCTTGTATCATCTCATGGCGTAGAGACAGGTATTACCACAAGCCAACTTCCACTGATCTCTCGCCAAGTCAGAGTTCTGTAGGCGTCCACTCCTAATCGATCCTTCTGTCTGAATAGCGTAGCCAGATCCTTACTCGCCGTAGATTGATTCACTTCTGATCCGCTTGTGAAAACCTGTATGACTGTATTCAGGATAGGGTCTGATTTCTGACTGCGGGCAAGTCTTAATGGGTCTCGTTTCAATACATGCACTTCATAAGCAATCTCCGGTAACTCACTCTTCCTTGTCAGGGACGTGTGAGATCGTGAGGTCATACTCGTGCAGGCGTTGAATACTTCTGTTCTGTGTGGTAAAGAAAGACAGGCGTATTCGAAAACTGCTTCACCGTGTCTAATTACTGCATCTATGCCGTAGTCGCTCGCATCTGTACATACTGCGAACTGTTTTCCAGGTACAGGCAGTTTTAATGTCATTTGCTGGTGATCCAAAAAGTCGTTTGATTTTTTCGAATATTTTCTGCTAATCTTATGGCCAAACAAACTTCAATCCACCTAATAGCCTGTACAGGGGGCTGCTATCACATTGAAAATCTTCAAAAGTTGTCTATAAAACGCTGCTCCCTCCAGGAACTGCCTTAGCTTTCTCTTGGAATTCGAGGCCGTAATGGTCTCTATCGAAAAGATTTTCTCCGGAAGCGGTTTTATCTCACCGTTACCTAATTTATGACCCAGCAGCGCAACGTTCTGTTTGGCTATCTGAGATTTGGTTTTGTTGATGCGCAGTCCAAACTCTTCAATGCGTTTTAACACGGCTTCAACATGGCTCACATGGTCGCTTTTATTTTGACTGTAGATGCCGAGATCAGCACTGTACTCGACCACATTCAGCATATCTCGTATTAAAAACGTCATCAATCGTCTGAAGGTAAACAGTGCACCTGCTAGTCCAAATGACATGCTTTTCAACTGATACTGTTTCTGTCTCACGATAAACACTGTCTTATCTCTGCCGCTCTGTTTTATCGATATCTGCCAATATCCTGACCAGGGTTGGAACCCTGTATAGAAAATTCGCGCTTTGTAGACTATTCAAGGTCTGTACTACAGTTGGTGTGGCACACTGTCTCAGCTCTGTCATGCTCCTCGGCTGTCGGAAATAGACGCAGAATCTGTACTTTCCATTCTCTTTCTTCACTAAAAGAACTGGAGAATTATACTGACTGTCAGCTTCTTCAATAATATCATCCTGTAACATCTTCACTTGTCGTTTGACCTCACCTTCTAAATGACATAGGACTCTTCGCGTTGTGAATGGTACCCTTTTGTAACCACTCAGTTGGATTTCATGCCTCACCTTATCACAATAACCGTAGGGGTCCCCATCTCGAGTGAACAGATGATCGTATTTTAATTAATACAGTCACATTCTGTGCTTTCGACACAGTAACGCATGCAATCTCACTTTTTTCATACATATTGATAGGTCCATACTTCGTTATAACTTCCCTCTCTTCCGCGTTAACTACCACACCAAACTTTCGCAGAAAATCAGCACCAAGTATTGTTCACCGTAACTCGGGCACAACAATAAACGGGAACGTAACTTCACGACCGTCAATGAAAAAGCTACAGTTTGATGTGCCGGTTATGCTTAACACGTGTCCACTTACCGTTTGAACTGTCAATGAATACAGTCTGACGCTCTGACATAGGTTGTTATCTATTAGTGAGACTGCTGATACTGTGTCTATTAAACATACTTCTCGGCCATTTATTCGCAAATTAAAATACATTGCCCCTCTTTCAATAGCCTCCACTACCTCTAGTCTGATAGAAGAGAAAAAACACACATTATACTGTCTGGAATTTTTCCTTTTCTTTCTTTCTGGTTAGTGCCTCCTCCATTGTCCTGCTTTGTCACATTCAAAACATCGGTCTTTCCTGACGCTCATTCGTAGTGCCGCTACCTCATGCTGCAAATCTTCCACTTTCTGTTCCCATTGGTTCAATTTCGGTGGCTCTCTTGCGGCTACCGTTGTGCTCAGCAGCTTCCTAGTCATCTTCGCCAGCCCACCAATGTCCGACCGAAAGCTGCTACCTAGACGTGGTGGTCGGGCTTGAACACCACAATGACCTAATCAAGCTATACTGGCTGAGACTTATGTCTCTTGAGGTTCTACCATGCCAGGCAGGTTGTTTGGATAGCGGTTAAACAAAAAGCAGCTACCCCATCCAATACCATGATTCAAACAAACTCACAAAATGTCATGTCGAATCGGTCGGTTCTCGGATTAACAGCTACCGCGCTTCCTGCTGCCGTATCACAGGGCAGAAGTGATAAATATGCTACTGAGACATACCAAACAAAAAAGAACAAACAAAAACAGGCTGCGTGTGACCGGCCTCAAGCAGTTGTCCCCTGGGCTCTGCGGTCACGCAACCAACTTCCACGGTGTGGGCAGCCGGGAAGTAACAAACGCCCTCACAATCCGAAATGCACACAAAACCTCTCTAATCCTCACTTATCTTTGTCTTCATCTTCATCTCTATTACCTTGCCTTCCTCCCACTGATGCAGCTCCTCTACTTGATGGCTCCTCACTCCCTCTTCACTCTGTGTCCACTAAAAACGACGGATGCCAAAAAACCACCGATAGTCTCCTAAAGCCACGCCACCAATTTCATATAGGAGCATTTAATGTTAGGACACTTTGCCAAATAGGACAACAAGCATCACTAGCCAAGACTCTGGCATCCCGAGCCATTGATGTATGTTGTGTTTCAGAAACACGCATACAAGACCCAAGTGTGGTTATTCACCTAACCCCACCTGGCCAACAGGATGAATCTTCAAAATTCACCTTGAGGGTGTCAGGAGATGCCACAGCTAGTTCACGAGGATTAGCTGGCGTAGGGATAGCTTTGAGTACTAGGGCAGAAAAGACATTACTTGACTGGATCCCAGTAGATAGCCGAATGTGTGCTGTCCGTCTGAACGGATCAGTAAGAAGGAGAAAGGACTGTACTACTCGCCGATGCCTTTTCGTAATCTCCGCCTACGCCCCCACCAATGTCCGTGGGTTGTGCAGCGTTAACCAGTTGTAGTTGCTGAGAAATGTGGTCTGGGACACTCTCGATGATCTGGGACGCCAACAACTGCGACTACGACTCTTCATCCAATGTGGGGGTGCACGACGTCAGTTTCACCGCCAACATTAGTGGTTTTCCGTCCGGTCCCACCTTCGCGGCACGGAACTCCTGCATCGCCAGTTGCCCGTTCGTCAAGCTGTCTAACTGTGCCACCAATCGTCCAACTATTACCTCCTAGGTCTCCTTCTCATCTGACCGCTCCACACTCGTACGACGCCTTGCTTGACCTCAGCAGCGTCCCCAACACAACTACCTTCCCCATCGGATCCTTGACACGACCATAAGTCTTAGTTACATATGGGGGGGGTGAATGTTATATACATAGGTTTTGTAGGATACCAAGAAATCATAGTTCGAAACTGTCGGTGACATGGTTCATAGCCATTCATAGCATTTCGGATGTATTTAATCTCAATCATATTTGCAATATCGAACAGTTTAAGCAATCTTCGCTCAGTTATTCTGTCTCTTCTCGAACTCACATTTCTCCAATATGATATCATTCCATTCTTTCGTGTTGAAGCTGTGACATTCAACCGAATGATAAAGTGTAGTTTTAATTATCTGATTTCCAGTGTAATTTTGTTTGTAGAACTTTATAGGACGAACTGCATATATCATAGAGTAAAGACAAAGAGTTATTTAGCAATGGAAGTTATTATCGCAATTCAGCCAGTCCATCACACTAGGCATTTGTTTTTTACGTGATTGCTTTTTCTGACCTCCTGTGTGATCACAAATATTGTTTTTATGTCTGGTAAATTGTACATCAGAACAGGCAGTGTAGCTGATTTTCGCTTATAACTTACTGTTTGATGTGATATATGCCACAAGTTATTCTGCATTTCTGTGTATGTTTGCTAGTAAGCACAGTACTTTATTATGAATTCATTTGAAGTTTAAATGATTTCCTCCTGGATAACTAAGTCGTCCAATTTTTTTTCATCGTCTGTCGTACTGATGCTGTTAATTGACGTCTGGAATTGACTTTCAACTAATGGATCCCTGATACAACCTTTAGTGTCTATTTACACCAGGGTAGTAGTCTAACAAACACGTTGAATGTAATCGCTAATCTAGTGTTTTGTTTCTCACAAATCTTTTAATTTCTTACTGGCTTTTTTCATTACTTTTAACTTGTTTGCTAAAATTTTGTTTCTCAGCACCACTGTAATCAAACACAATGGCCGTCGTTTCCTTTTGCGTACTCCTGTTTGTCCTGCTTTAAAACAGTTGAACAATATCTCTGGTATGTTATTGTCTAATATGCTTTTTTAACATATCTGTGTGAAGAATATGATTGTGATTATTAATTTGTCTTCTTCAGTAGATTCTATTAAAATGTAACTTGTTGGATGTTATGCCTCTGGCCTACATTTACCCAATACCATTTGATTTTCACTTCTCCATAATAATGCTTGATCAGAACAATCTTTACTTGTGTCAGTTACTTAGTTTTCTGTCGGTGAAAAGTGGTTTACTGTCTGAAAACCAATAGAAAGAGGGGTAAACTGGCTAAGGTGCGTCGGTGGTTCAGCGGTAGAGTGTCCTGGCCGGCGGACACTTTCAACTCCCTTAGCCGGTTATAATCCTGACAGAGAGGGGTGTTTGGGTGTGAGGCTAGCAACCCCACCCCGTAAAAACAAACACCACTGCTACTGAAACTTCAAAGCTAAGGCATGAATTCCTGTGTTCCGCTGAGAACGCAAAGGAATAAGAAAAAACTGGTTAAGGGACATGAAACTTCTCCTATATGTGTTGGTTCACTGTCACTTCATAACTGTGGAGAAGATATAACCATTCAATAATTCAATTCCTCTCACTCTGAAATAGTACAGCCTTGAAAGACTCACTAAAAAACTAGTGTACTTTAGTTTGGCATTACTTATTTATTGAATTCATTATATGTGGATAATCATCCAAATGAGAATACAAAAAGTCTATGTTCACTAACAATAAGTTCTTTCGAATCCCATTACCGTTGTCATTGAATGTAACCTGACTAGGCTCATACGAGTATAAACATTTTAACAGTAACTTTACCAACCAACTCTTATAGTCGTTAAACTTTCAAGAATCAAGGAGAAAGAAAAAAATCTATCGCACAGTCAAACTATGCACAAAACATACATACTTTTGACTGAAGTTGAGTGTTTTCAATTTCCTATAACTATATGTTACCATACTTGTAACAACAGTAGCCAAGACACGGAAGCCAAAGTATATTTTTCACTGATCAAACCACTGTTTATATACCTACAGTTTATATTCATTAACCAATCCCTGAGCGCGTGATTTCAGTTTACATTAAACGACAAAAAATAAAAAGTTTAAATATTCATAGTATACTATTGCCAATGCAGTCTGACTGACTGGTTTCAACATAGGACTTTGCACCGATGTGCAGCAGTTCGAGTTGCCACACTTCACTCAGAACACAAAGCCAGACAAGAAAGTAGAAGAAATGCATAATAGAGACAGTGAGCAGGGATATGACGCAAAAAGAATAGTAATATCCAAGATCAATATAGTTTCATTGGAAATTATAAGTCACAAGTTGTGGATCCATCTGCGCCATTCAGAACGATTTTCAGCCATTTCACTAATTGTCTCCAGCCATTGGACCCCAACCAGGAAGTCTACACCTTCCTACTTGGCTGACTTAAACTAACTGTTGTAGATTTCAATGACTGATTCTCTGTTTTGGTTTGACTATTACTAGTTCTATCCCAACCTGACCCTATGTCAGCTAACACTGCCAGTTGTCGAGGAAGGCTTTGGCCAGGCATGTGCAACACATGTCCTAACCATCTCAATCTTTGTAACTTCTCAATCTCGTCTATTGACTTCCCCTCCTTACCTAGCACTCGACCGAAGCCTAACCTCAATATTACTCACCCTATTTATACCATTTCACACGGGAGATAGAACACTGGCACTTATGATCAAAGAGAGCAAGCTAGGCTTTTCATGTCTTCCACTCTCAATGGCCATGTCGTGCTCACAGTCATAAAGTAAAGGAATACGGAGTGGACTACTGAGAAGTACACACACACCATGGTTAACAGCCAGTCGGATATCACGTCTACACCAGAGACTTTGTAAACTGGCATGTATTTATTTATTTAAACGCATAAAAAACTTGGTACAATATGGCACCAAGAAGGATGCGCCACACTATAATAATAAAACAACATAGATCAAAAGAAAAAAATATAAGTAGAGAACGGATAAAGAACTTCATCTGGAAGGAAAACAGTCATGCTTAACAAGTTCAAACAGTGTTCGTTAACTATCATCGGGAAGGGAAGAAAGAAGGAAATTGCAACACATTCGCCATTGATTACGATTCTTGGCCATATCCGATAACGTTTCGAGCCATCGATTTGAGCTATCTCTCGGACCCCAACCAGGGAGTCGTGACACACCAACCGATGCTAATCTAGCACAAAAATCCTTCATCCCACGACGCCACGTCATGGACTGACCACCTCTCCGCCTTTTCCATCCCGTCCCAGGGCTAGCGAACAGAGACCTGTACGGAAGCCTCTGGGGTGACATTCGCAGCACATGTCCAAGCCACCGGAGCCGGTGTTTCCAGATGACGACATTCAATGAATGGTGATCTCCACTTTGTTCAAACACACGCCGCCGAACCTCAGAATTACTCACGCGATGATGCCATCGAACGCAAGCAATCCTGCGGAGACAGCGGTGATCGAACACGCAGAGTCGCCGCACATCCTCAGCTCGGAGAGGCCAGGTTTCACAGGCGTAGAGCAGCGCAGCCCGCACCGAAGCATTGTATACCCGACCTTTGACAGCCAGGCTAACGTCGCGACGGCGCCAGAGGTGGCTCAAGTTGATGTATGCCACCCTAGCCTTCATTATACGGTTGGAAATCTCATCCGTCACCCCTCCGCCAGCACTCACACAACTACCCAGGTACACAAACTTATCAACAACTTCAAGCGGTTCACCCGCAAGAGTGAGTGCAGGTACAGGCTCCTGCCAATCTTGTAACAGTACTTTGCACTTAGACGGCGCAAAGCACATACCATACTTACAGACACTGATCGCCAACTGATTAAGTGCGATTTGGGCAGCCTGCATGCTATCGCACAGTAAGACGATATCGTCTGCATACTCGAGGTCGAAAAGTCTATCTCCAGGTAGCAGATCTACACCACCTTCACGCACATCCTTCAGAGCTGACTCCAGAATGTCATCGATGGCAAAGTTAAAGAGAAATGGAGAGATTGGGCAACCCTGTCTAACCCCACTGTTGGTTGGGAACAGTGGTGATAGTTGGTTGTATGCCCTCACTCTACCTGAGGTGTTTCTGTATAGGGCTTTCAAGATGTTAACAAATTTCTCAGGTACACCTCTCTCTAACAGACAGTTCCAGAGCACAGTTCTGTCCAACGAATCGAAGGCAGCCCTAATATCAAGAAACACAACGATCGTTGGCCTGCAATACGTGTGGCGGTGTTCCAACAACTGACGAAGGGTGAACACATGATCAATGCATCCACGACCTGAACGAAACCCAGCCTGCTCTTCGCGAATCAATCCTTCACGTATTTTGCACAGTCTGCGAAGCAAGACAGCAGCCAATATTTTAGACGCGACTGGTAACAGACTGATACCCCTATGATTGTCACACGAATTACGTCGACCCTTTTTAAAGATGGGGACGATAATGGCTTCGTTCCACATTGATGGTACACTCTCTGTCTCCCACACCTTCCTGAACAACCCAGTTAGAGCCATTGTGAGAGTCTCGCCACCATCTTTAAAAAGAGCCGGGGGTAATTTGTCTGGGCCGGGCGCCTTATGGCGTTTCAGAACTTGGAGTTCCTTACGGACCTCCGCTTCGGTGGGTGGGTCGGTACTAACCGACCAAGGAGCACTCGGGCTAATGATAGTAGACACTGAAGCTGGTGGCCAGCTGAACTGCTTCCCGAAGTGCTCTGCCCAGCGTTCCAGGCGTCTTTTCAGGCTGGTAATTGGAGTGCCATCTGCCTCACAGACCGTCTCGCTGACACCTTGTTTCTTGCCGCCGGTGGCTCGTATGAGTTGGAACAGCTTCCGACTGTTGCCAGATGCAGCAGCTGACTCCATCTCACACGCACGTTCTGACCACCAGGCTTCGCGGTCCTTACGTAAACACTGTCTAATCTTGCGCGTGAGCGCCTTTCGCTGATTGTTGTATTCGCTGCCAGCCGGAATGGACCGGCGTTCATCCATGAGTTGCAAGGAACTCGCAGAAACCCAGTGGTTGTTAGCGGAGCATTCTTTCAAGCCGCAAGCGGCTACACTCGCCTTTTGCATGGCACCTTGCACATGAAGCCAATGTTCATCTATACTACTTGGGGGGTTGCTGGCAAGCATTGTTTTTAACTCATTCTGATATTTCAAAGAAGTAGCAGGTGCTACTAGTTTGCTCACATCAACGCTTAGACGACGGCTTTTACGAACCCCACCAAATCGCAAGACGAACTTGGCACACACTAACGCATGATCGGAGTCCAGGCATGTGCTCCAGAAGGAGCGACAGTCTTGTATGCATCCTCGCCACCGGAAACTGACAACAATATGATCAATCTGAGTCCAAGCTTGCTTCGCAGAGGGAGGACGCCAGGTAGCGCTACGGCGATGGCTGTGCCGGAAGTTGGTGCTAGCTAGAAATAGGTTGTGATCCGCGCAAAGCTGCAGAAGACGGTCCCCATTATCTGACCTGCGACCATGTAGTCCCCACTGACCACCTAGACGATTCTCCTCTGAGCTTAGACGCCCGACCTGTGCATTCAAGTCCCCAGCCAGCACTACGATATCCCTCCGACCCGCCTGTTTCAAGAGATCGCTCAGTTGGTAGTAAAACTCATCCTTCATTGCATCCGGGCTGCAATCCGTCGGTGCATAGGCAGAGACAACAAATAGACACCGCCTATCTGGCCTACTACTCCTTACTTTCGTATAACCTTCCAGCCTCACAGCACATAAACGACTGTTAATGGGAATCCAGTCGAGCAGTGCAGCTTCGGCTCTAGCGCTCAGTGCGACACCGACACCAGCTACGCCGGATGCCGACGCCACAGGGTCCCCGGATAAGCGCAGGTGGTACATACTACTAGAACTTCCAGATGGAGAGGATAGTCGAAGCACTTCACTGGGATCTTGAATGCGGGTCTCCGAAATGCAGCAGACATCGATAGCGAGGCTTTCCAAAGTTCTTGCCAACCCTGCCTGTTGTCCGATTTGCATCAGCGTCCGAACATTGTAGGTAGCCAGCTTGAACGCGGCACGCGGTTTCAGGATATCTGTGTTAGATGTCACATTGGGAACAACCATTTTGAGGACTACTCACTAACATCTCGAAACGACACAGAAAGGCTGTCGAAGGTTAATAAGTCAAGGTTAGCAAAGGTAAAACACAGGAAACTATGTATAAAAATAAAAGAAAGGTAGGAAGGACATAAGTTACTTGAGGCATCAATGCTACTTGAAATCACTGTTAGTAGTGCACGATGAGTTTCAGTGAGAGTTTGTTGCTTTATTTCATTTATTGTGCTGGGGCTGAGATACTGCCCGGGCGCCCAGACCGAAGCAGGTGGTTTTATTAAGGGACCACCCCCCGGGGCATTTGACTTGGAGTCTAATCCGCAAGGCAGCGTCAGGAGCTGCATTCCCATGGTTGCCGGTGACCCATATGGGTTCATACGCCATTCGATCCGATTGGATACTGGAGCCAATGTACCCATGTGCGAAATTTTGTCAGCGATCAACCCGCTGGTGTTGGTTGATGCAACTTACCAAATCAATGAAGTGGTCGACACGCCTTACCACTTCACTGCCTATTTCTAAGCTAGGAGCCAATGAAGCATCATCTCACATTTGATGGGAGCGAATCGCATGCCAAACATTCGAAGATCACAGCTCAAGGTGTTCAGAAGACTGTGCATTTTGTTAGCGTATTCACCTAGAAGGACTATATCATCTGCGTATTCGAAGTTAATGCCTATGCAGTATTAAACTGTGGGTAAGTATTCTGTCTCAAACACCAAATAGAATGTCCAAGTAGATATGTCGTATTCAGTTGCTAATGCCGAATTAAATTGTGGGAACACGTGAGAAAAACATTCTATTGGCGCACATATTGCCTATAATACACCCCCACATACTAAATCTAAACAAATACTTGGTGTACACAATTTGATTGATAGGATTTTTGATATGATTGTACGGACTTAACGTGGGTGTAATAAGATTGAACGCAATGGACAATTCAACTAAAACATTAAATACTCCTATTCGATCCTAGTATAGATATCAAATATTTACACTACTGAGTATAAATTAAAATCCAGATGGGAATTAAAGTATGGTTACTAATAGGCACAAATAGTAGGCAAAAATGAGAACACTAGATGTAACAACAGAAGACGAGGGCCAGGCAACAGATCGTTTATTAGGGAAATCAACACATATTTAAAGATTTTCATGTACATTATTATAGATTATTGTTAGCAGAAAAACGCAGTCCTCTGATTGGTTGTTTCTCACTGAAAGTTAATCTTTCATCTCTTTGTGGCTGTTTCTTGAATGTCACATCATCTATATACTAGTTGTATCCATCTACGCAGAGTCTGATGTGGTTGGTTGTTGAATCTGTTTGTTTGTATTTTTCTCACGACCAATATTGAGGACGTGAACATTGACGTAAATTACTGTCTACCAATTTGGCTAGCAGCCAGCTCTCACCACATAGATAGGAAACATATATCCATATATTAGCTCAGTAAAGCTGGACGGAATCCAAACCAATTAACAATTCTCATTCAGGTTTGGGATATAATCGTTGCCATCTATACAGCTTTTCAGAAAGCTTGTTTCTGTGTTCACTACAACAAGCTTGACAAAAGAAAACTGATATGTGCGTCGGTGGCACAGTGTTTAGGACTCTCGCTGACCATGCACATGGTCCGAGGTTCGATCCCCTGCCGACGCACACCTGATATCTATGGTTGGTCTGCAAAATTTGGACTTCCGATATCCATGCTGAAAATTCCATACTTGTACCAGAAATACAGTGTGGAATCAAGCTGTAATCAAAAATAAATAAAAGACTAGCCTGTAACAGTTAGGATATGAACTTTATCTAGGAAAACCATAATAGTTTTAGCCACATTAGAATTCGACTAGGGTAGGGTATCGGAAGATAAAACATTTTGATTGGTTGGCGATTGGCCAAAGGATAGACAATGAGACGAAACAAGCAATAAAAGTCAATAAAGTAGTAGGATTTAATGAATTCATCAAATTTCGCTAAAACTTCTCAGCTGGATACTCTACATGCAGCAATATAAAATGAAGATAAAATGCATTATGGTTCAATTGTTTTTGACTTTTTCCGATTCATTTAAATCTATATTTTATGATTATCATTATTTTGACTAGTTTTAACATTATTATTTATTGGTTATTGTTACTGTTCTTATCAATATTATTTACTTTGCAATTCTTGATATAATCAAGTTCTTTCACTTACTGACAACTGATTGTTTATATAGGTTGTGTAATTGAACCGTAATGCATTTTATCTTAATTTTATATTCCTGTATGTAGAGTATCCAGGTGAAGAGTTCTACCGAAATTTAATGAATTCATTAAATTCTGCTTTATAAACTTTTGTCGCTTGTTTCAAAATTCGTATCAGGAAATAAGTATTTCCAATGCGACCAAAATTGTCCAATCGGTTATTTCATAATTGAAGGATTTGTAGTTCAAGTGGATGATTTAGATTTAGTTGTGTTCACTAAGCTAGTTTGATGTAATTGCGAAGCTTTCTTCATCCCTCTAGAGAACATCTTCAGCACAAGTCAGTGTCTTAGTGTGTAATGAACTTAGTTGAATTCCCTATGGTAAATTGCATTGGAGATGTTGTTTAGAAGGACAACGAAAGCTTCACAATTCAATCAACCAGCTTAGAGAACAAAACTAAATCAAAAAGAGATTATTAATTCCTGTCCATATCATAAACTAGATCAGATCCAGATTGAGAAATAAGTAATTCTTCTTCAGCCAGCTACTGACTGATTTCAATTGTGTAAGCACTGCCTATCAATTTTGTTCTCTAGACTAAAATGCCTCCAAAACGTGAACAGTTGTCTTCTTTGTTTAGCTTGACGGGGATGTTGCGCGTGTATCCGTTGTAGGTAGATTGTTATGATCATTGAAATTTAGCATGAAATCAGTAAAATAATCATCAAATGGTTCATCTTAGGTAGCAGGGAAAACAAAATCGTCTGTAAACTAGTCTGTTAATTTATTTGGGGGAATTAAGTGTTATTGTTTTGTTTTTTTCTAGTGGGATAGTAGGCATTCTGATTCATTTATGTGGATCAAAGATCTCACAAAATTTGTTTAACTTTTCGATGATTTATATAAAAAAATTTTTGACTGAAATAACTATAATCCTTAATGGACATTATCATTATTATTATTTCCTATTATTATATTTTAGCCCCTACTCATGAATTTCAACTTCCTGAAGATGTATGGATTGAATTAGTCCCACGAACTCATTCAGATTCATGGAGAGTAATTGAAGCAGAGCAAAATCCACGTCTACGTTTACGTGTAGATATTAATCGTCAGCTATCAGATGTGATTGCGTTAACAGAAAATAAATGGCAATCAGCTGCTGAACGTATGGTCAGTAATATTGCTGTATATATCATTCCATGAGACTATGTTAGATTTTCTTTTTAGGTTTAGGATATATTTTTGTTTCTCCGACAGGAAGGAAATTGTATACTTTGATTGGACACTCACTAGTCAGTAACTGGTGTAATATGTCTAGTCCTTTGTTTGGTGCAGACTGAATTCTATCAGTCAAATTTGTAATGTGATCACCATTCTAGATGGCTAGGGATCACGGTACACTGTAAATTGTTGATATTAAATGGTTGGAGGCAGTTGGTCACAAGTAGCCTTGGACCTAGGTTTCGTACTAGTTGGCACTCACCAGTTAGCAAGGCGTATCTGCAACCTTGAAAAAAATCATGTCTTTTCTTGGAGAAAATTGTATTGAATGTTTTTTTAAAGAGATTAAGTATATTTTTGGAACAATGATGAGATTTTTACAACCGTGTGTGAAAACTTGACGTGGTTGGCAGTCATTCACAGCATGGCGCAGATATATATTCACTGCTCTCCATTTTCTAGTTTTTAAAAAGCTTCATTAAGGTGTATTTCTTTGTCGAACACATGTTTATCTATCTTTGTGTCAATGCTATGGGAACTTGAGTTAACACTTATATTGGCAAGATTCTTAACTGATCTGTCGGTCAGTTAGTAAACTACCTAAATATTGAAAAACGTTTCTTTTTCAGAATTCTAGGTAAAATTGACGTTACCTTGTTAAGTAAGATCATCATTGTTTCATCCTTGAGTTACATCATTCATAGATGAGTATTTGCTGATGATTGATAATAGATTCGGTATTGCCGATTGTTCGTATTTTAAGATAAGATCAAAATGTACGATTCTCTCATGTTGTATAATAACCCTTACACTATTGTTGGCAGAGTTTAGTGTTAGTATTTTTGAGTATTTTCTCTAGCAGTTTGATATCTTTTGTGGTGTAGAGTCGATAGGTCCACGCTCAACCCTACCTCTTTAACCGGATTTGGGACCGGATGACAAAGACAACTTGCAGTTTGTTACTGCATCTTTAGTAGCACAGATGTTTGTCGTCCCTTATCAGGATGAGTGATTTATATTATTTTCATTTATTTTATTAGGTATATTTCTTACGAATTCGAAATTCTATGGTTCACTAGTTAGAAAGGAGCGAAATATACCAAACAGAACTATGGAAATGTTAATTCATACTCTGAGATGTCATCGACACATGTTTCTTATCTATCACAGATAGATGCGCATGAGTTAGTTATTAAAAAAAACTAGTTGGATTTTTACTATGGTGATAGATGAAGTCTCTATAAAGGCCTAGATTGATTCTTCTTTATTCCGTTCACGACGTATCTTCATTGTTTCATTCAAGGTGGGTTAGTATTTCTGTAGACTTCCCCTGAGGAATCTATGGTGATAATTTACAATCGAACTGTCGATTCATTAAATCAGAACGTTTGAGTTGGGCCTAAAGATTCAAAACACAGGATTGTTCAAAAACAAGGTACTGTACTACATAGAAAAATAATGAATAGGATATAAAATCCTCACGTATCTGGGACTGAAAATAGCCGGCATGCTGCTAAGTTATTCAGAAGACAGGATTATAAGTGACCTAGTATTTGGATACAATTACTCGACTGAAATTAACCAACATGTTCGTAGGCTGTTCAAATGCACTAGAATGTGCCCAAGTACTAGTTCGCTAATAATTCTATATCTTTTTGTGGTGAGAGCTGTCTGCAAGCCAAAATTGTAGACAACAATTGACGTCAATGTCCATTTCCCAAATCAGGGTCATGAGAAAAATAACAAAGAGAAAAAAACAAAGCTTAACCTTGAGAAAATCACCAGACACAATCACAGCGGAGTTAAAGTGTAGAATTATGATCCACAGATATCTGACTTGATTTTCTGAGAAACAGTCACAAAGAATAACCTTCAGCAAGAAAACAACCAATAAGAAGAGGTTGCTTCTCCGCTAGCTATACGCTAATGATAATGCACATAAAAATGTAGAAATACCTCTTGATTTTCTGAATAAACGATCTGTTGCCTGTCCATTGTCTTCTGTCGTTACATTTTGACTGAATAGCTTAGCAACATGTCGTTTATTTCCAGACCGTTTATTCTAACGTGTTTTGAATAGCCTAGCAACATGTCGTTCAGTCTCAGTCCGCCGTACCTAGTCTGAATGCCGTCAAAAATACTGTTACTGTACTTTAATATAAAAAACGGTAGAGTTGTTTCAAAAGACAATCTGTTTGTCTGTCATAAACAACTCGCGAATTTATGGGTCAAGAATAAAGAGATTCGAAGAAGTAATATTCAACAGAGGGTTAAACACGAAGATAATATGTACATTAGATATCGTTTAACCGTAGGAAGATAATTGCTACAAAATAAATGGGATGTTGATACACTGTATGAGGTAAATTTCAATGAAAATCAGTAGAATGGTTACAAATTGACGACTTAGTGAAGAGAATGCAAAAACTCATACTACTTATTACGAATAAGTATTATAAAGTTGAAGCAGGAAACAGCAACAAAGGTCAGATGCCAAAGGAATTTACAGTCTCTATCGTAAGGACTGTATAATTCCTTTGGAGTTAGTTTATAACATACCACCCTGTTAACAAAAATATTTTGGTTGATTGTTGTTTTGGGAGCATTTTTGTTGGTTCCTAGCATCTTGACAACACCAACCAAGCAGTCTTCACCTCTATATATGACTCAAACCAACGGTCAAAGACTCTATAAATTGATGTTGTGTCTTAATTTAACAACCCCTAACTCATTCCCAACCCTAATCCTATGCTGCTAAGACCGCTCGACAGTCATCTCGGAAACACCAATTTACAGAATGAATGAAGTAACACTTGGTATACAGTTTTCCGACTCAAGGATCTGTTTAAATCTTTGACTTTATTTAAATGCTACTTATTCTTCTTTCCGCCTCGGTGGTTCAGTGATAGATTTCTGGTTAATCACGGAAGTAGTCTAGGGTTCGGTTCCTGAATGTCGCCTAATTAACTAGCCGGTAATGGGCCTGGAAAATATGGAAGGTGGGGTAGTGAAGCCAGCAACCTCTACCCCGTAAAATTGACTCCACTGTTACTGAAACCTTAAAAGCTTGAAACCAAATGTTCGTACAGGAATACAAATGAGTAAAAAAATATCTTTTTAACTGTATATTCAAACTTATATTAATGAAGAGGAAATCTGTTATTCACAACGATTCGACATTCATACACGTTGCTCAGTTCTGGTGTTTGCGGAACACCGGAGGCTTAAACGCAAGCTATTTTAAGTGTCTTATTAAACAGAAATGTCTCAGTGTCACGGCAGTATAATGCTCGCTAAGCACGCATGTGGTTCAAGGTTTGATCCCCGGCCACCGACGAACTCCTTTACCTCGATAAGCCAGTAATTAAGACTGGTAAAGAGGGAAGGTTGAGCATGAGGCTAGCAACTACATCCCACAAAAATAAACGCCACTGCCATGGACACTTCCAAGCTCTAGCTTGAAGCCATATGTTCCCCTGGGAACGTGAAGGAATCAGAAGGAAATTAAATTTAAAAAAAACGAATAAACAGTAACATCCTGCCGAAAGTAGACGAACTCAGTGAGTTTCTGTGTCACTATCTCAAACTTCCTCAAGTTAAATGTGGTGATTAGTTTTTTCGTTTTAAGATTTCTGAACTTCCTGTTTTCCCTAATATTTTTCATTATGCTGGAATTTTAACAAGATGGAAACTGTTACTCAAGTAAATATTTTTTAATGCAAATACTTTACCTTACTGTAAGATGATGCTACAGGACTGGACTACATTGACTCCTAGCTTAGAAACAGGGAGTGAATTGGTACAGCGTGTTGACCATTTCACTTATTTGGGAAGTTGCGTCAGCCAGTGCCCACAGGTTGATAGCTAACGAAATCTCACCACGGATACAGAAGGCTAGTCTCGCATGTGCCAGTTTACGCCGTCTCTGGCGTAAACGTGATATCCGTCTGTCAACCAATGGACGTGTGTACTGCTCAGCAGTCCGCTCCGTCCTCCTTTATGGCTGGTTGTGAGACCTGGCCATTGAGAGTCTAAGACAAGAAAAGCCTGGCTTTCTGTCTCTGATCATTGGTGCTAGCGTTTTATCTCCCGTGTGAAATTGTATAATAGGTTGAGCAGTATTGAGGTTAGGCCTCGGTCGAGTCCTAGGTAAGGAGAGAAAATCCATCGAGGAGACTGTGAAGTTACATAGGTTAAGATGGTTGCAACGTGTGTTACGCATGCCTAGCCATTGCCTTCCTCGACAACAGGCAATGTTAGCTGACATAGGGTCAGGCTGGAAAAGACCTAGCGGCGGTCAAACCAAAACATGGCCTCATCAGTCAATGAAATTCACAACAGTTAGTTTAAGCCAGTCACGTAGGAAGATGTAGACTTCCTGGTTGGGGTCCAATGGTTGGAAACAATTTGTGATATGGCTCAAAATCGTTCTCAATGGCTGGCGCAGATGCATCCACTCCTTGTGACTTATGATTTCCAATGAAACTATATTGTTCTTTGATATTATTATTCTTTTTGCCTCATATCTCCGTTCATTGTCTCTATTTTACGTTTCTGTTTACTTTCTTCTCTGGCTTTGTTTACCGAGTGAAGATTGGCAACTCGAACTGCTGCACATCGATGCAAAGTTCTTTTCCGAAAACACACAAAGACAGACAGATTTTACCTAACAAACCAGTGATTATCAATATCAGATATGTTTCTCTTCATAGTTGTGTGTAGCATTCTATTTCGCTGAACGGTTAACAAAATTTAGTTTCGTTGGCAGAGTTAGCACAGAAGATGTCAGCAGACATGCTTATGAGATATCTACGATCAAATATCGAGGCTTGAAGAACACCTGACCTACAAATTGTCTTTACTATTTCATATTTATTATAAAATCAATGAAAAGTAGACAATTTCGAATGATGATGTCTCTTCTGTAATTCTTAATCATCAGTGATTGTTGAATTGATGATACGTTACATTTTGAGTTTCTTTTTCAATATATCTTTGGTGGCACAGTGGTTAGGACTCTCGCCGACCATGCACATGGTCCAGGGTTCGAGCCTACGCCGACGCACACCTGATATCTATGGTTGGCCTGCGAATTTCGGGCTACCGATATCCACGCTGAAAATTCCATACTTGTACCAAAATACGGTGTGGAGTCAAGCTGTAATCAAAAATAATAAAAAAATATGGATATACTACTTTCGATGTATTTTGTGTTTGTTTCTTTAACTCAAAAATGTTGAGTCTCACTGTACGCAGGTCATTTTTTCTCACTCAATATGTGAGAGCTGATTGTCTTCTTATTAATATTATTTCATACACTATTAGTGGAACGTGAATAGGATGCGACGAGTTGGACATCTGTGGTTGATTGACGTCGAGGAGACCATGTGAGAATGAAATGTGCAAAGCTTATTGGCAATCGTTGAGCTAGCTAAAAGTTTACTGTAAAGGACAGGGTTAAATAAAAGTGTTCTGCTGAAGGGCATATATTCCATTTGGAACCCAAGGGAAGCGTTTCATTATTTGGTAATAAACAGTTATGTACTTACAGTAGCCATACTAAAGTCGGTTCACATTCACATTGTCTTCTCATCGATGTTATGTAAAAAAAAGAAACATGTGATGATCGCACATGTGTTCTCATTTCTTTTTTTCCCTTTTAGAGAACTGTTTTAGATCTTCCAGTTGTAAATCAATATACTCCTCCATCAGTTATGCTTAATCTTTGTCCAGCTCAGTCTATTGATGGAGCTATTCGAATACAAGAAGTGGCACGTGTTCGTTCAGGGGATCTTGGTTTACGTGCTTATTTAGATCGAATGAATACTAAAGTACCGCCACATCAGTTACAATCAAATGTATGCAAAACAGGTAGACATTATCTTTTTAAACAAATTAGATTACAAAAAAAAATTCATTCATCATTCATCTTCCTTTTATTTTATCTGTATCATCATATTATTATGTTAAATGGTTTTATTTGCACTTAAACGCGTGCGTATCTACTATTTACATTACTTACAGAAAAGTCTACCACAATGTGTGTGTTAGTCAAGTAACTTTATAAAAATAGCATCTGGATTTAATTGAATTTTAGATTTTCCCGTCGATTGATTGGACCGAAGTGCTCGGTCTCAGGTTGACATGTCGGCTTCTTGTGCAGATGCTTCGATGATATCTGGGCATTTAATTAGTATTTAATTGATGGATGGTGACTAGCACTGGGTTCGAGCCTCGGTGGGAAAATCATCACTCACTGAGAAGTGCAGGTGTATCCAGATGACGAGTCCAAAAATAGGACGAAATGAGCACCCTGGATTCCACGGCTAGTCACCATCAATCAGTTAAATAGCATTTGGATTGTTACAAGTGTTTATAAGAGTAATTTATTTGACCATAGTGGTGAGAACATCCTTATATATTGTTAGCAGTATGTATAAGTGGTCGGTTATGTAATCAGTCATCATTTTTATTTACTTCCAAATCTATATTCTTGATCCGCATAATAAGAACAACGAAATATAAGGATAGACTATATTCGAAAAGGTATATTCGTCATCAGTCAGATTATTTAAGAAATAGTCTTTCTGGTCATTTGACCGAATTTTGCAGCGCCCCTTTTTTTTCTCCTGTAGCTGGTTTTTTGATGTTTATCCCCGAGAGTACTCAAAAGCAGCACCTGGGTAGTATTCCAGTAGTTATGTTGCTTTGGATTAAACATGCGGCCTATTGACATGAGTATTCAATATGCAGGGGATCTCAGGTTCAAATCCTGTCTCATCTAATTCAGCCTAGTCGACTGGATAGTATCATCAGGTCTTATGGAATAAGTGATGATAACAATAACTTTATTCTGAAAATTATTTTTATACACAATACAGAATTTTCAGCGAGTTTCACTGCGACGTATGTACTTCTTCCTTGTGCAGAATATTCAAACAAAATAATAATCAATAATATATCATATGAAGAAATATTGTTCCATCAGAACTATCTGTCTGGATTCAACATAGAACTTGGCACCGAAGTGCAGCAGTTCGAGTTGCCACGTTCCAAATAGCACATCAGAACTATGCTCCAATGCAACTGCACAATATTCTTCTTGCATTTCCTTTAACAAAAAAAACACCTAACGGCCGTAGAAACTTATTTGAAGTTGTTCACGAGTGTAGATTACGATTCATTGTGGTAATTAGGAGATAGAAAATAGTTTGAAACGGAGTAAAATTATAGGTAATTGAGTTCTAACTGACTTTCGTGGAAAACACTTCTATGACTTATCAGCTTCCAGACGATAATTGAGAAACAAGTTGAATACATAGAACTTCACCACAATAAAACTAATTTATTGATTATTAGTGCTGCAGTAGATGATTTTTATTGTTGTATGCTGTAGAATGGCAATCACAATTTTTAACTGGTTACAGTCAGTTGATTGATAAGTTCACAGTATAACTTAATTTTTAGCTTGACAATAGCTCATCCACTAGTAAATGTCATTATGTGAATAACGAAATCTATGAGATACCAACAAATGCATATACGTATGTTGCGTTGCATGATTGCCACCTTTCATAGTTCAATATTCACAAATCTGATTTCAAATCTTTAAATATTCCCATTTATAATATCAGAACAAGACATATAAGCGAACAATATTGTTTTCAATTAGATTTTCAGGCTTTACTCTAATTTACGTAGATTTATATATAAAAATTTTTAACCAATGACGGTGATTTTGTGGGTCAAATAATAATAATGTGGTAAATGTTTTGAACGTAGTTGATAACGATGATCATAATGATAACAAAATATTGATAATAAGGTTTATGCAGGTTGCGATAAAAATAACATTATAAATTATTTAAATTAATCCCAGCGTGTTAAGAAAATCAAATTAAGATTTTTCTGGACGTTTCGCCGTGTAAGCCACAGCTTCTTCATCAGATTTACCCGAATAAATTAATTAATTTAAATAATTGATAATGAATCAATCTGACTCGGTGCTCAAACTATTCCAGGAAGTTCGTAACACTTACGATCTGAAAACCCATAGTAGTAATATACGTATATGTAGACAATTCAATAAATGAATAAATTAGGTCAAATCTTGAAAGTTACATAATACTAAACGTGAAGTGGACAGATAATCAAAGTTTAAATAAATATCATAAAAGTACGAAGGACATGGAAAATAAGAAAGGGTAGGAGGGTTTTGAATACAATTCACCTAGGCCAAGGGAGAGACAAAGACAGAACAAACTTCTTTTGTATGCAAAGACTAAGATTGTTCTCTCGAATTCCCATTGCTTCGGCTATGTGTAAAAGACGGATTCAAATTCCGTTTGAAAGGCTCGATGGAATGCGATAGATAACTTTGAAGGCACTATTTTTGTCCACTTGGTGACCGCTATCAATTAAATGAGCTAAAATAGAACTTCTTATAGATTTTGTTTGACCTTTTCCGAACCATGAAGGAAGACGGTCAATAATGAGTTTGTTAAGTTGTCTAGTTGTTCGCCCTATATAGCTCTCTCCACAGGAGCAACTAATTTATAGATACACATAGAAGTGTCACAGCTAGGTAGCTTGTCTTTCATTTGAGCAATCCAAATTGGTCAGCTGGAAAATGACAAACAAAGGGTGGTGGCAGTATAAGTTCGTTTTATCGCTCTCGATAATCTCTGATGTAAGACTTCGCTAGCCACGTTCCCATTAAATTACAGTTTCATAAACAGTTGTTTCTTTTTAACTGTTGTCAGTTTTTCTTTATTGTACCTGGTATTCATGTGTCTCCTCACAAATTTACTAGGATAACCGATTTGGACCAACGTATTTTGAATTTATCCTAGCTCATTTTCTAGGGGGTCATCTATCTGTACAGACACGTCTTGCTCTATTCGTGAGGCATCTGACCAAATTGTTTTTGTATCGGATTGGTACAAAACTGATTTCGTTAAATTAATTAATCAAGGTTTTATGAAATGTTTCAGAAGTTTAACTCACATTTTCTGTTTTCTTTAATTCAAAGTCATACTCATAGATAGAGAAGTGAAAATCTTTCCACTTTGCATTGCTTATCACAAAAAATTTGTTGTGTGAACTGTAATTATGATGAGTATTCATCTAAATGAGTGGTGGATAAACGTTCTGTGATATAAGAGTGTCTTTGTCAAGTGGAAACACACAAGCCTTAAACTATGGACTGACTTCAGGGAATTATGCATAAATGAATATATATGAGTCATCATAATTGTCTTGTGATTGTCATTCCTTAAGTCAGTTAGCATTGATTTCTATTAATTCTACTGTTTGTTTGTTTGTTTGTTTTTGACTAAGTTTGTTTTCTTTATTTCAATTAATTAATCATAGAAATGCAAATTAGACTGTGATGACTAGATTTTCATTTCATTTGCAACTAAGATAACTTGGTTACAATAACTCTGTAACCGTGACTTGCTTAACTTCCGTAAAAATCAATATGCAAATACTGACAAAATTTGACTATTTGCGATACGTGTATTGCGTATTTAACTTCAGTATAGCTATCAGACACTTATAACACACTCTTATAATGAGAGTATTGCTAGTTATATCATTTTTGTTCGTTGTATGATCATGAAAAGTATACATATATTCCGTGACCTTATAGAAGTGTATATATAAAAAGTGGCTAAAGGTATCAACCTGGAAGCTATATAAATAGCTTAAGAAATTATTTGAACTACTGTAGTCACGGCGTATTCCGAGTACCTATTGATCCAGTACCACTTGGTTTTTCCAATGTAAGGGGAATCGAATTGAAATACTTGAGAAGTAACCAATGAAATTTGTAATGGAAGAGAGGAGTTTTAAATTTTATCAAGACTGTAGCTGACATCGATCTGGTTTGTTTTGTCTGATGGTTTTGTGTGACGTCAGGTTAGTCTTCTTCTCTAATTGAACTTGCCAATGTAGTAGATGTGGAGATCATCGTTTCCGAGTATGATAATGGGACGATGCTCTAATATCTGACGGAGCTGAACAGGAGAGATTAAGATTGATTAGGTATGATGTGTGCGGGTAAAGTGAGAGACTCTAGCAGATTACGGTGGCGCGTCTCATGGAGAAGGCATTTCCTGTATCACTATCTATATATGCCCCATGTGATGTAATGATTTGTTATGCACAAAATTCCCAGTTGGTTAAGCAACTTAATGCTTGAGCGTATAGAATTAAGCAGAGTTAATAAGGATATAGTTTAAAGCCGTATTTTCTAGTCTTATAGGTTCTATTAGGAGGTTCACTATGCCAAACATCAACTGACATCGTTATGTTAGGTTTGCTCTGTATAAAAGTCGTCTTAATTGCTTTATTTGACTCATGTAAATATAAACGCTTTCAGCTGAAACGATTATCACCATCAGCTTCAACGTTTGTAAAAATAATGGCAAATATATAATTCCTAAGTATTATAAGTATTAATATAAACTACAATGAACCATTATTTTTAACTTCCACTATTTTAATGTAATTATTAGAGTATTTTTTTTAAATGTCAAGTGATGAGCCATTTACACTCTCACAATTACCTTAGTGCAATCTGTATGTAAGCGACACATTTTGTATTCAATAAAGGATGAATAACTGTATGTGAAATGAAATGGATTGGTGTTTATCATTGATATGTATCCACTATATATATTTATGTGTGTGTGTGTGCATGTTGGTCTCTCTTTCTGTTTGCTCGCTTAGTCTGTGACCATTTCACTTGTGTGAACTTGTCTCCTTTATTAATGTGTATTCTCCTTATATTATATTATATATAATATGAGTGTTTGTTGACAGTCCGTTGCTTAGTGACATATATCCATATATGGTTGTTTGACATG